TGAAGGAGGCCTGGAAAACAAGGGGTGGTTGTTTGGCTGGTGGAGGGAGTTGGCTCACGCCTGCTCGCTGGCAAGGCTCCTGGGAGCTGCTTTGTGGTGTTTGTATGCGGGGGCAGGACTGGCCCTGCCAGCTCTGGGGAAGGTCTGCCGGCAGGAGCCTGCCCAAGAACGGGCACAGAATCCGACTCCGTCTGAGGGGCAGGCATGCCCACGTCGTCCCCGGGGTCCCGGTCACCCATCCCCTCCCCCGTCACAACCCTCTGCACCAAAGTGCCCACAAGGGACCCTTCCTTTGCCAGCCTGGAAGGGTGAGTTTTCAATGATGGAGCCTCAACACCAACTCTCTCGAGCTTCCTGGATTCGCTGCCCAAGGCTCCTTGGCGTTCCAGGGGCGGGCAGACCTCGGAGGTGGTGGCAGTGGTTCGGGTTCTGGCCTACTATCAAGTGGATGGTGTGGTTTGGTTTTCTGTTCCCATTGCGGCGGATGGGATGCTTCCACTAGGCTGTGGTTTATGAAGGGCCTTGGTGGAGCTGGTTTGGGGTTGGGCTGTGAGCTTGTTGGTCTTGAACTGCTGACCTTGCAGTTAGCAGCCCAACTCATAACCCTTGATGTCATAGGGTTGTTCTTATCATGTATGGGCAGATCTAATTGTATTGTCTTTCTCATGGTCTGTGTGTTTTGATTTTTTACACCTTGAGGGTTTGAGGCCACCCTGCGTGGAGCCAGGAGTCTGAAACCACCAACTGCTCCCAGGAGAAAGAGAGACAGTCTATTCCCATGAAGAGTCAGAGTCTGGGAGACCCACAGGGGCAGTTCTACCTTGTCCACAAGGTCAATAGGAGTCGAGTCAACTGGCTGGCAGTGAGTTTGGTTGTCTAGGAAGGGTGAAAGATTGTGTGGAGGTTCAACATGACACAGAGGCAGGAAGCGAGTTCATGCCCATGGACTGGCTCCACGCAGGGTGGCCCCAAACCCTCAATGTGTAAAAAAACAAAACCCACAGACTGTGAGAAAGACAATACAATTAGATCTGCCCATACATAATGATACAAACAACCCTATGACAAAGGGTTACGAGTTGGGCTGCTAACTGAAGGGTCAGCAGTTCAAGACCGACAGGCTCACTCCACGAGGGAATGAGCTTTCTACTCCCATAGACAGTCTCAGAATCCCTCAGGGCAGTACTACCCCACCCTGTGAGGTTTCTGTCTTTGTCTTTTTGAGTTAGCAGAGGGTGTGAAAGACAAAACCCTAACTTCTCGAATATGGTTCTTTGGTGTCTAAGAGCCTGCTCGGAAGCAGAGTGAAATCCCAGGGCCATGAAGATGAAGGAGCCCTGGTGGGGTAGTGGGTTTATGCGCTGGGCTGCTGACTGCCAGGTCAACAGTTTGAAACCACCAGCCAACTCCTCAGGAGCAAGACAGGGTTTTCTACTCCTGTGACAGTCTTGGAAACTCGCCAGGACAGTTCTACTCTGCCTATAGGATCGTTACGAGTCGATTGGCCCCTTGGACTGAACGGATCATTTTCAACCGAAGAACTCCGTGTGGAAGAGGGCAAGGAGCAGGATAAGGGCTCGACTGTTAACTGAGAGGTTAGTGGTTCGAACCCCCCAGCTGCTCCAGAAGAGCAGTCTGCTCCTGTACAGCTGGCAGCTGTGGGAACCCTGGGGCAGCTCTTCCCTGTCCTGGAAGGTTGCTACGATTAAACCCCACCGCCGTCGAGGCCATCCTGACGCACACTGACCCCACCGGGCAGAGGACTGCCCTTATGGGCGTCCAGGGTTGTAAGTCTTCATGGGAACAGCCGCCTCATCTTTTTCCCAAGGAGCAGCTGACGGTTTTGAACTGTTGGTCTTTTCGTTAGCAGCCGAATGAGTAACTCACCAGTGGCCCTGGGTGCTAGAAGCCTGTCAGAATCTACCCCAGGGCCATGGGTTTGGATTTTGGCTCCTAGTGTTAGCAGCCCCGCCTCCTCCCCATGACCATCTCACACACACACATACCCATAGCCCTCTACCAAAAGGACACACACACACACCCCACCCCCATTCCCCGTAGCCCTCTACCAAAAGGCTGCTATGGGGCCCCGTCTAACTGATGGTGACCCCGAGTCCAAGCAGAATTCACCCCATGGGTTTCTAAAGTTGTTCATCTTTACAGGGACAGAGCCTTGTCCTTGTCCCTCTGAAGAGGCTGGTGGTTTCAAACTGCTGACCTTGTGGCAATACTACCAAGGCACCTTAAGAAGCAGGCGGGCTTCATACTTCAGCCTCTAGGCTCATACCTGCCCGTGGAACCGAGGAGCTCCGCTGTACAAGTGACGGTGTCCTTCTCCACGTCACGTTCATAAACAAGAGCCCGCAGTGGGGGTGGGGTAGGGAGGGATGTGATAATTAAGAGGATTTTATGGACTTTTCTATGTTCATGCAGAAAAGCGTTCACATGTAAAAGTTGTACATTTGATATAAGATTTATTCACACTGTTTTACACATAAAGTTTTCCATTTGAGGGCAGGAGGTAAGTGGAGGGGCAGCTAGGATCCCTCCCACACCCTCACTCCCAGACAAGGCTGTCACATGATTAGACACAGAGTTGGCACACTTGATTGAAAAACAAAATCAAACAGAGCTAGACGAGTGATGTGGCTGGACGCCAATTTCAATCCCAACATGCACCGCCCAGCATCCTTGATCCTGGGAGTTCTTGCTCGGAGCTTATTAAAACAACCACTGTGTGTGTGTGTGTGTGTGTGTATGGTCACAGATGACTGCTTACAAAAGAAAAGCCCTCCGCCTACTCATTTCATTATAGAAAAATATTAGAAACAAACAGTGCTATTCAAGGTGTTTGCTTCAAAAATCAGAGAGGACACGCAGGTTTAAGTCGCTGTCACCCCCATGGAAGGACATGGGGGTATACCAGAGGACACACAAGCTCCTGATTTGCTGGGTCTTGCCGATCCCCGCCTGCTTCCCAATGAATAGTTACTTAATATGCTGCCTGGGGACAGGTGAGAGAATAACTGGGTTCCTTGTTCTGGGGACTCTTGATTTCTTCTTAGTTTTTGAGAGTCAGAAAAACTCTTACTGCAAGATGAAGGGGTGGAGTGGGGTGGGGGGAATTGGCATTTCTTCCTGATACAAAAAAAAAAGTGTTGACAATCTATAATTATAGAACGTATTACTTTTTTTAAAAAATTAAGAAATGGCTGATTTTTTTCTCTCCTTTTCTTTTCATGGTAGGAGTCCTGTTTGGGCATGCTTCAAGTTGTAATCTGGGCCCTCTTTGCCCAGACACTGGGAGTGGGGGTGGCGAGGTATTATGAAGCAGTTCCAGAAATGGGAGGCATGTCCAAGAGGGCCCGGGGCCGGTCACCCTCGGCCCTGGTCTCCTTGTAGGGGAGTATGGGGAGCCTGCAGGAGAGGGGTCCCTTGTAAGCTATGTACAGCAGTTTACACATCAGGGTTTCATTTTCACATGATACACAGCGTATTCCCTACGATTAACTTAGGCCAAGCACTTGTCGCCGGTCAGCGGAGGCACGAGACGTCGACTCGCGTTTCACTGGAGGGGCGAGGTCTTCTGTGGGATCATGATCCTGGATTCCATCTCCTGAATGAGCGGGACTGAAACGGAAGGGAGATCACTGGGCTTGTTCTTGGCAGGCAGGTCACGGTAGCACCAGACCAACGACTGGAAGGGCATGCTGGGAAATGAGGGGCCAGCCCAGGGGCACCTGAGCTAACAGCAGATTGGCTCCAACCCTCCTCTGCAAAACACAAACTCCCGGTCATCGAGTCGAGGAGGACTCTTAGCGGTCTTCCTCTAAGGGGCGAATGAAGGGAACGGGTCCCATCTGAGGATGTGCCGGGCTTGTGGAACATCAGGAAAAGTTCCATTTTTGGGAGAAAAATGGCGCTCTTCTCTGAAGGAAGCCAAGTGGACAGAAACCCAAGGCAGGCACAAAGGAACAGGCACACGGCAGGGGTGACCCTGCCGCTCATGAGGAAAACGCCTCTGGGAGAGAGTGGACCGCACGACTCTTTCATTTCCTTAGTGGTTTAGGGCCTAGATGCCACACTTGACATGCGACGTGGCCGGTGCCCATTACTGGTTTCGGCATCACTGAGTTCAGCCCAATGAGTTCCTTTTAAATATCAAATGGCTGTCTGTGGATGTCGCTGGATACTCCAGGAGTCAGGGTAGCACAGTAGTAAATGCCCTTGTCTGCAGTTCAGAAGGTCTGCAGTTCAAACTCATGAGCTGACAGAGTGGAATGAGAGTGAGTGAGTGAGTGTGTGTGTGTGTGTGTGTGTGTGTGTGAGAGAGAGAGAGATATCAGAGAGAGAGAGAGGGACAAGAGAGATCAGGCAGTTTGCTCCCATGGGGATGATAGCCTTGCACCCAGGGGGCAGCTGTGCTGGTCCTACAGGGTCGGTTCGGTAGACGCTGTTTAACTCAACTCGATGGCAACAGGCTTTTTGATATAGGAATATATTCACAGACACACGCGGTAAGTCTAGTTATCAGAGTCATTTTCAAAATCTTTTAAATTGAACTATGACGCTGCCTTCTGAAGGACTGGCACTTTTTATGTGAAAGAGGAAACTTAACAAATGTGTGATACATTTTCAAAGTTATAGCCAATGGTGTAAAATGTACAACATACAAAGGCCTGAGAGCTGTACCACACAACATGTGTGAGTGAAAAAGGACCATTTGTCTTTATTAAAACTCATGCACACACACACAGACTATAGGAACTTTAGGGAGCGCTGATGGTGTGATGGTTACCCATTGGGCTGCTAACTGTAAGGTCAGTGGTTCGAAACCACTGGCCACTCCAGGGGAGAAAAAAATCGGACTTTCTACTCCCATAAAGAGCGACAGTCTCAGAAACTCACCGGGGCGGTCCTACCCTGTCCTTTAGGGGCGCTATGAATTGGAATCAACTCGATAGCAGTGCTTTTTTGTTAGACATATACATGCACTTCGGGGGTTCGAGAAGATAATAAGAACAAGAAAGTGAGAAGAATCAACATGAGAAAAAAAAGATAAGTGAACGTCGGCGTGAAAGACTATCTGAGAAGAGGATCAAACGCCCTGCGCCCATGAGACGATTACCTGTGTAATAGACCAACTCTTCCCAGCCATGTTTGTGCCACGCGGCGTTCCGTATGTCTTCCCGGGTCTGAAGATCCTTGTAAGCTTAAAAACAACCACAAAGACTTAAAACCAAACACCACGCCCCTCCTTGTTCCACTCACAGAACCACGACGTGTTGGCTCTGGAATTTCCCCACGGGCACGGAGAACCGAGCGCACGGAACTAGGCCTTGTGGGAGAGGTGGAGCAGTCTTCTCTCGCTCGGAGTCTAGCGAGGCCTGGAGAAGAAGGCCCGTGGCAAACAAGTGAAAAACCCTTTCCATTCATAACCAACCACCGCCAGACTTTGGGTGGGCAACAGTGGCTTCCATCTGTGGAGAACACAGAGCAGGCAGAGGGGAGGCCTGTTGAGTACATGGATCATGCGGAGACCGGGCAGGTGCCTGGGGAGAGATGCCTGGGGTGGGTCTCTAGGGCCAAAGGACTCCTGAAGGTTGAAGCATCACCGCTTCCCTATGGGAATGAGAGCGGAAGGTGCATCAGACATTGCTCTGGGTTCAATGGGCGGGCCTTTTCACAGACCCTCCCTGGGCTGATTCCCCACCTGAGCTAGGGCCTTCCAACTACTGAGCAGGGACATGGCCCATCAGCATCGTCACTACCAGTTCTCTGGGAATCTCCTTCAAGTCTACTGTCTGCCACACACACCCCTTCTCCCTCTGAGACTTGCTCTGGTAGGCCAATCATTTCAGACCAACGAAGAACATTTCTCTCAACCATAATGAAGAGAAGGCGCCCTGGTGGGCCAGGGGGTGACCTGTCAGACTGCGGACCCCCTCCATCTCCACGGGAGGAAGAGATGAGGCTGCCTGCTCCCTTTGAGATGCAGTCTTGGGATGTGACTTGCTGGCAGCGAGTTTGAGTTTTACTATTCATGGGGCAGGTTGACCTGGTCATGCCGCAGCGGTTAAGTACTTGGCTGTTAACCCAAAGGTCAGCTGTTTGAACCCACCTTCGGCACCATGGGAAAAGCATGTAGCAGCCTGTTTCTCTAAAGGCTGACCACTTCGGAAACCTTAGAAGGCAGCTCTGCTCTGCCCAGGAGGGCTGTTAGGTTAGCAGTTCCAGATCATCAGCTGCTCCCAGGAGTTCTTCTGCTCCTGTGTGCTACGAGTTGGCATTGGCGAGATGGCAGTGAGTTTGGTGTGGTGACCACCAGGGTGACACAGACCTCTGGTGGCCCAGGGGCAGCGGGGGTGTTGCCTGCAGGGGCAGTGACATCTGAATTGGGCCTTGAAAGCCTCCAAAGTAAACCCAAATCCAAGCCCACTGCCAGAGTCCCTCCCAACTCGTACCCACTCTACCAAGGGTTGCTGAGACGGTATACCCTTACAGGGGCAGTCACGATTCAGTTTTCTCCCTCAGAGGAGGTTGGTGGGCTTGAACCCCTGACCTTGTGAGGAACAGATCAGTGGCTAACAGACACGGCCCAACAGCAGGGGGTGGGGTCACCGGCTTCAGTTCCAGGCAGCCCAACATTCAACCTCCACCTGTGACTGGATCCATTCCAAGGGACTGAGTGGAGATTTGTTCCGCTGGCTCGGCAGCTCAACTCCAGATGGGCCCAGCACCTCAGAGGAGGAGGAGGAGACATACCCCAGAGATGGTGCACCATATAGAGCTGGCCGATCTGAGAGAAGAATCCGCCCACAGCTTCACTACCGTCCTGCCGGAAGCGGATGGCCCGGGCCCTGGGAGAGAGGAGGGGGCTCTGTTACAGAGTCTGACCATTTCAGAGGCCTGCTTCCTTGGCAGTCAGGACAGGCCATCCCCTGAAAAGGGGATCTGATCACCTTTTCAGAGGTCACCTGAACTGGAAGCTAGTGTCACGTTTGGGACTGCCTGTGGTGACATCACTCGTTTTCAGCACGGCCACATGCGCGGTGGTTGCCCAGTGGATGTCTACCTAAGGGGGCGGGGTGGGTCACCCTGCAAGCCGACTTCTCTACAACCATCTCTGAGAAGTGAGGGAGGGGCCTGGCCATTGACTGTTTGGGTAGGAGGCAAGGCCCACCCAGAAGGGTGGGGTTAACACAGAGGTCAATGGGGTACACCCTCAGAGCTCTCAGAGATGGGGGGCGCTACAGGAAACGTGGGTGCTCTGGCAGTGTGAGGGGAACAGGACACGCTGTACCTCGCCTGGGCTGTGTCTTAGGGCCACGGGAAGAGCACTGGGCCTTGTCATCCACATGACAACTGGAGCCGACGCTTGGGTTTTATGCCTGTTTTTCCCTAACCGGGATAAAATGTTCTGAAAAGACGGGCACTGAATGGCACAGTGGGTGAATGAGACACAATGGTGATGAAATGGCTTAGACCTCGGTGCATTTTCAACGGGCCCCCTGTAAGGTTTCCTGCGGCAATGAGCTGGCAGCTTTTCACATAAGGGCCTTCTTCCTGGCCTTCGAGGGATCCATCCCTTTAGACAGGGTGGGGTGCCCCGGAACCCCTAAAAACTCGGGACTCCTGGCTCATCTCTACCAAAGCAGTTCTCTAGGCTCCAAGGGATGTAGGGAGGTGCCCAGGAGGAGAAAGAGAGGTGTAGGGGGCTCAGCATGAGAAGGAGGGCATTCGAGGAGGTCACAGGGAGAAGTATGGCCGGTGCGTGTCAAGAGACTCCACCAGCAGTGCCCAGGTTGGATTGCAGCCTCAGTGACATCAGCGTCTTGGAGCTGACAGGGCTTGGGAAGACATTTCACTGTGAAATATTTATGAGAATCAGAGACTCCAGAGGATCAACTGATGTCTACAGGGGACAAGACGCTCTGGTGGCCTGGCCAGCTCATTCTCTTCTGGGAAGCAAAGCCCAAGGCACCGAGTAGGGTCACTTCAACGTGCATGTGAAATGGGAGCAGTCTCCCCAGGATCACTCTGCACCCCGCTGCTCTCGTTTCCCGTCAGCTCAACCCAAGCTTCCCAATCCCAGTGGGGGCCGGGAGAGGAAGGTTCTCTTGTCAGTGGCCCCCATGGGTCACCCACTAGTAAAATAGCATTAAAAAAAAACCACCCAAAACTTATATTTAGCATTATGTGAACCGTATTTCCACAAAGATTATGAATCGGCTGGGCAAATTACTGAAAATTAAACAAATCACTTTTAGGTGCACGCGGACTCAGAAGAAGGCCAAAAAGAAGCCGTCCTTCACTGAGAGTGATCAATATTCAGGATAATTCGTTTCATTCTGATTTTTTTTTTCTAATTCCGTTAAGGTAGGCAAAGAAAACATACTTGCCGTCGCCTGGTAATAATCAGAAGCACGTATTCAAGTGGAGGCCACCCTCTAAAGTTACCTACATGCCAAAATATAAATCGAATGCTGAGCAGGCTTGGTAAACAGCATGTAAGATAATGGGAGAACATCCCTGGTATTTGCTCCTGGACTCCACGGTGAACAAGTCTCAGTAACAACTAAAACCCAACTCATGCGGGTTCTGTGCGTAGCTAAATCATTACAGTTATGGGCCAAGGTGAGGAGATGGAGATGTGCAGAATCCTAAGCGGAAAATTCCTTCATAAAATGCCTGTGATACAGTGTGGTGTCGACTAGGCTGGGGTAGGGTCCTCAGTGGTCTTGCAGGTAACACCTAGTATCCCCCGTGACCTGGACTCACAATGCCGTCGCGGTTACAAGGCTCCACGGAGGGATGGTACAAGATTAGGGGGGCACACGACACCTAAGTCACAGCCCCGAAGCAACTGAAAGTGTTTCCTTGGGGGCGTGGCCTCCTCGCAATATAAAGATGCTTTGCTTTTTGCTAGTTCTGGATCCTGTGTCTGGCTCCTGGAATGCTGGTTCTTTGAACTCGAGCCAAGAACCTGCCATATTGCTTGCCGATCCAGGGAGTCATCAGCAGTCCATCATCTGACCTGCTAGCCCTGAATTTGTTTTGCTTCTGTAGCCAACACCGTGTGGTCTTCTGGCTGCCCTCGGCTTCATTAACCCTTGACGCTACTTGAGGCGGGGGAGCCGCATGGAGCATGCCTGGGCTTGGACGTGCCTACTTCTGCAATGGTGTGAGCCATTTTCTTGATATAAACTTCTCTGTTTATATGCACATATAAGCATCAGTTGGAAACCCAAGCAGGCAGTCCTGCTCTGTCCTATACGGTAGTTGAGTCAGAATCAACTTGATGGTAACGGGTATTTTTTGTTGTTTGTGTGGTTGCTCGCCGAACCTACCAGGGGGCTTCAAAAATTTCACAGAAGATTCCACTATCTTGTAATTCCACCTTCCCACAAACTTTCTCAAGTCTACTCATGCGTTCATAATTTTATCTTCTCAATGGACGGAACCCTTTATCAAACAATCTTTTACGGTTTCTGACTTAAAGGCTACTTTGTCCGTTAATAATACAGTGTACCCATTCTTGGTTAGTATGTGCACGGAGCAGGAGTATCCTTTTCCACGTCCCATCTCTTTGTGTCTTTGTGTCCACAGTGAGTCCCTTGTAGACAGTATATAGATAATGTTTCTAAAATCCAACCTGTCGATTTCTGCCTTTAAAGAGGGGAGTTTAACTCACTGACATCCAATTATTGATAAGGAGTTGCTCCTGTCGTTCAGTTATTTTCTGTATGTCTTCTATGTTCTTCGTTCCTCAGTCCCACCATTACCGCCCTTTTAAAAGGTTCAGTTTGCATAGTGTACTGTTTTGATTCCCTTCTTCTGTTCTTTTCTGCCTATTTTATATTTTCTCGGTAGTTATTTTGTAAATTAAATATCTTTAAAAAACCTATAGCATAATATCAATGTAATTACAATAGCATAAATGTACTATACCCCTATCTTTATCCTTCCTTTATATTATTGTTACAAATTATATTTTTACACTTGTGTACCACCCATTAACATAAATTTATATTGTTTTATGAATTTGTCCTTTGGATTATAAAGTAAAATGCTGAAATTTATCTTTATGCGATTTATCAATATTCTTTGTTTCATCTAATGCTTTTGAATTACTATGAGCACCCTTTCATGTCAGTGTGAAGGGCTCCCTCCCTTCTGCATTTCTCGTAGGACAGGTCTATCGGTAATGAACTTCCTCAGCATTTATCTGGGAGCTTATAAATTCCCCTTTCATTCTTGGAGGACAGTTTTGCTGGACACAGAATCACTGGGTTTGGTTTGGTTTGTTTTTAGCACTTTAAATGCCACTCCACTGTTTCTGATAAGGAACTAGCTGTTAATCTTAGTGAGAAGCTCTGGTACGGTTTGTTTCTCTCCTGTTGCTTCCAGATTCTCTGTGCTTTTGGACAGTGTGGGTACAATGTGTCTTGGTGTGGGCATCTTTTGAATTTGCCGTTTGGAGTGCAATGTACTTTTTGAAGGTGAGTACCCTCACTCCTCACTTACTGACAAGGTCACGTCCCCAAGACCAAGTCATTATGTGAAAGTTGGCATAATGCACCAAGGGAGGATGACCACATCAGATCACCAGGTGAGGAAGGACACATCATCACATACGTGTCACAACACCAAGTAACCATTGTGGCTGGGCCACACTGACATATAACCTTACCCATTACAGCCGGTGGTGTTACTTTCACCTCACAACTTGTCACTGCAGACGGTGTATGCTATTAATGTGCAAAATAGCCTGACAAGACAGTAAGTGAGGAGCAGAGGTGTTCACTCTCGTCAGATTTGTGAATCTTTGGTCATTGTTTCTTTAAATATTTCATCTGCCCCTTCTATCTTCTTCTTTTTTTAATCTTTGTTTTTTAAAAAATCATTTTATTAGGGGCTCATACAACTCTTACCACAATCCATACACACATCAATTGTGTAAAGCGCATTTGTACATTCATTGCCCTCGTCATTCTCAAAACATTTTCTTCTAAGGCTCTTAACATATACACATAGGTTGGCATACTTGATGGTACTGATAAATCCAAGGTTCTATTAATTTCTCTTTACTCTTTCTGCTCCTCAGACTTGTTACTTTTGATTCTCTTATTGTGACCATTGGGCATTTACGTACAAGAACATATCGTCATTTTTCTCGGGTATACTGTTGGGTAGCACTGCTGGGTCATATGGCAACTCCAAGTTTAACACTTTGAGAATCTATCAAACTGTTACAAAGTAACTTTACCATTTTACATTCACACCAGCAGTGTATGGGCTCTCCAGTTTCCCCGGCATCCTAACAGTTACTCTTTGTTTACAAAATGATAGCCATCCTAATGGGTGTGATGTGGCACTTCCTTGTGGTTTTATTATTTTTTTCCTTGTGGTTTTATTATAAATTCTTTATGTTGGACATCTTTTCATGTCCTTTGAAGACATTCATTTATCTTCTTTTGTGAAATGTCTATTCAAATCCTTTGCCCGCTTTGAAAATTAGGTGATCTATCATATTCAGTTGCAAGAATTCCTTATAGAATATAGACAAGTTCTTTATCAAATTTGAAAAAAAAAATTCTCCCATTCTGTGGTGTGTCTATTTATTTAATGGTATTCTTTGAGGGATTTTTTTCCCCACATATGAATAGTATGTTTTTAGTGCTGTATCTAAGAACTCTTTGCTTAAGTTAAGGACACAAAGCTTTGTTCCTATGCCTTCTTATAGAAGTAGGTTAGCTTTTTTCAAGTTAATTTTGTATGTATCATGTGAGGTAGGGATCTAAATGAACTATTTTGCAAGGATATCTAGTGTTTCAGCATTGTTGGTTCATAGGACTATCTTTTTTTCCACTGAAGTGCCTTCATGTGCTATGCCACTGCCCTGCATGTTTTCCCTAAGCCAGCCCCAGCATCTTGATGACTAGCTTTGTAGTAAGTTTTACATCTGGGAACACTAAGTCCTCTGATTTTATTCTTCCTTCACAAGGCTGTTTTGGCTACTGTGGGTCCTTTGCAGTTTCAAAGTTTGCTGGGTGTGATGGGTAGTTTTATTGTGCCAACCTGGCCAATAAACACATGTGGGATTAATAAGGTTGCAGTTTAATTGAAGGGCAAAGAGTTAAATGGCTTGGCAAGTCTCGCCTCTCTGTCTCTTGCTCTCTGATGATCCGACCAGTGTGCAGCTGCCTTAGTTAGTTCTCTGCCTCAACTTGCGAGCTACATCAGCTGTGGGACACCCATGGACTGTGTCGCTATAGTTTGAGGTTCCTTCGAGACCTGCTTTGCCACACTGCTGGTGTGTACATCACTTGAGCTGGGGACTGTCGGACCCTGTCATCTGGCTGTTTGCTGCCTGTGGCCACACTGCCTATACTGCTCTACAGGAGACTCAGCGTCTGCTTCCTGGACTTGCCCCCAGCAGCCCCTGTGAGGTGAAGGACTGCCAGTGTATTAACTGTCTCACGGAAGTGAGTTGAACTGAGTCCTCTGTACTGCTCTGTGGACTAATTAGCTGTTTATTTCTTTGTGGTTTTGTTTCTCTAGCGAACTCTAACATACTGGGAATTTTGAATTTATAGAGCAATTGAAAACATTCGTATTTTGCGACTGAAGCTTTAAAGGAAAATAGGTGAAGCCCCTGGACCAAAGTGCTCTGTTGACATGACAAAAGCATGTTTCAGAAAAGGTCATTTTCCAAAATAAAAAAAAAAA